AAACATATATACATATAAATATGTGCAAAAATATACAAAATAGTTAACTTTGATGTCATCTGCAAAAAAACAATTTTTCATAGTATTGCATAGCTAGGTAGTACAGAAGATAAAGAGGTGGATTGGGAGTCAGAAAAACTTCAGTTCTAATTCTGTCTGAAACACTAGCCGTGTGACCCTGGGCAAATGACTTAAAATGTTCTCTGCCACAATTTACTCATTTGTAAAATGGAGATGATAGTAATAACATCTTACTCGTAGGGTTGTTGTGAGAATCAAATGAGATAACATCTGTAAAACGCTTTACAAACTTAAAGCACTGTAGAAATGCTAGTTATCATCATCATTACTTATGAATGCGACAGAGCAACATGCAAAAAAAAGTGTTGTTTATACTATGGGATGGAGGGGGAGGACTCTTTACTGAGGTAGGGTTAATGAATTAGCTGAGCTTCTGCGGGGAGGCGAATGGAAGAGCTGCCTCTGAAAAGGAAGCCACGTGGTTTCCCGAAGAATAAATAAGGAGGAGAAATGAAAGACTTATACATAGCTGTGGGGTGAAGCTGTCCGATAAGCTTGGCTAGAAGAGCACGTGTTGAGAAAATGAACTTTAGTGAAATGAAGAAAGGGATTTGCTGACTTGGCTTCTTTCAAATTAGATTGTGCAGAAAATGCAGGATTTGGAAAGTTCAACGTTCCCTTCATTCCAGTCTCTCATTTAATACGATGCTAGTTGGTAGTTTTAAAAATGAATATCTCAGAACCCTGACAATCGTGATTTGTCCGCTGTGGAGTTCCACTGGTGAAGCTATGCTTTTGTCATATCGTGTCTATGTTTGGCAAAGATTTGCAGATGCAACATTATTAATAGCAGTGCATATTTTCACAAGATTTACCTCTTCAACACTCCGTGCACCCCTCCCCCCACCCCCCACCCCCACGCCAAGTTAGTAAATCATAGCTTCTTTAATGTCCTGCTGGCTGTGTGAAAAACAGGAATTTATGTAACAAACTCAGGGCTGCAAACCTTTTCCTGTTCGGAAAATTTTTTTTAAATATTGGCAAAGTTAAGAGACAGCTCTGTTACTCAAAGAGCGACCTGAAATGTCCTCTTACAATAATATTAGATTGTAATTTTTTTGATGACTAAGGGATCGCTGTATGTTCTGAAGGCAGCATTTTTGGAGAGAGGGGAAATGTAGGTTAATGGTGTATGGGCTGCTTGACATGTAGACCATTTTTGTTGGGCTTGCTTAATAGTCACCTTTTCAAGATTCTTCATCCAACATTGAGAATACTTCCAAAATGCAGTTTGGACAAAGACATGACCCAGGCATATTCTGTAACTCAATTCAAAATTGTTGATTAATCCTAGACTTTGGGGAGATTACTATGGGGCATTTCCCCCTCTTTAACTTGACCTGTAATTTCATCGTGTAATAAATTCCTTTCACTAGTGCACATTGGTACTTGCTCTGCAATTTATAATCTTAGATAGTTGCCTGTGGGCACTGAGAGGTTAAGTAATTTGCCCAAGGTAACACAGCCAGTATGTGTCTGTGGGAGGTTTGAACCCAAACCCCAGATCTCCTCACTCTGTAGATAGTTCTATAATTACTACCCAGTGCTACCTCTATACTGTAGGGGAGACAAACAGTTTGGGAGGTGGGACACACATACGTGCACACACACACGCACACATACACCAAAATAAAACACAGAAGTGTTAGGGGAGGGATTCAGTGGTCTGCCTCAGCGTATGTACTGAGAGGCAAACCCTCCCTTTCCTGCCTTCCTAATTTAACATAAGAAACCAGGAAGCTACTATCTAGGAAAATCTTGCTTCCTCTTTACTATTAAACTAATTGTAACCAGAGAGGAGTACAGAAATTGCCTTCCTTTATAGATTTCATATTAGTGTATCTCTCTATGTGTTTGGGGCAGTAAAGTTCAAAATCTTTAAAATGTTTCAAGATAATATTCTAGGTCACAGGGGTGGGGAACCTGTAGCCTTGAGACCACATGTGGCCCTCTAGGTCAAGTGCAGCCCTTTGACTGAATCTAAACTTCACAGAACATATCCCCTTAATAAAAAGATTTGTTCTGTAAAATGGACTCAGTCAAAAGGCCGCACCCAAGGACCTAGAAGGCCACATGTGGACTCAAGGTCACAGGTTCCACAGCCCTATACAGGACTTAATTCACAAGTGCTCTAACAGTCAGAATGTCTGCTTCTGCCTTTAAGGCAAGATTTAAAACTTGGTATGTTGTTGTTGGTATACCTTTCAATCCCAGGACGCCATCCCGAAAGGTCACTAGGGATTTGGGTTTTCATAGAAGCAGAAGGGAGGTCCTGAGGGCTGGGTGATGGTGTGTTGGTATCTTCAGCCTGTGCATGTAAAGTGCTTTGTGCAAATTTTAAAGCACTAGATAATGTTGATGTAAAACAGTACCTTTGATAGACAATCACAGAGTAATAATGGCTTTGAAACCCTGATTCCCTTCCCTAAAGCACTTTTTTTTTTTCATTTTTCAATGAAAGCCTAGTAGATATGAAGAGGAGGAGATTTAAAAAGGAGGAAGGAGGATCAGTAATTTTCAAAATACATCTGAACTGCAACTCTCCTGCCCTCCTCTACCCATCAGCACGTTGACATTGTCATACTCCAAATAAAACTCATATTTAGGGTTGGAACTTTGACCTAAAGTCCTTCTCCCAGGAGAAGAATTTATTACACGATGAAATTACAGGTCAAGTTAAAGAGGGGGAAATGCCCCATAGTAATCTCCCCAAAGTCTAGGATTAATCAATAGTTTTGAATTGAGTTACAGAATATGCCTGGGTCATGTCTTTGTCCAAACTGCATTTTGGAAGTATTCTCAATGTTGGATGAAGAATCTTGAAAAGGTGACTATTAAGCAAGCCCAACAAAAATGGTCTACATGCCAAAAATGGTCTACATGTGGTTACTCTGGAGATCATTTTCACATAGGTCTGTGTTGTAATATTTGGATACAATACTGTGAATTGGAGAACATTTCAAATTTTAGATTTCTTAGGTTTAGTTGGGTTACACTAAAGCTGTGTGTGTGTGTGTGTGTGAGAGAGAGAGAGTTGTTTTTCCCCTTCCCTTTTCTGTCTTAAACAGAAAAGAATACTCAGCTCAAAATTTGAAGTGAAATATTTAAAATTCCCCTGTTCTATGATGACCCCTAATATAATTATTTCTCTTCAGACAAACTATGTCCCAAGTTGATGATATGAGGATGTGTGCACTGTGGCTGTATCTTTAAGTGACCACAAACTGAACCAGAACGTCTTTGTGTTTAGAAAGAGGAGAGAGGGAGCTAAGGTACGAGGTCAGTTGAGCCTTGAACCCTCTTCAGACAGAGAGGGGTAAGGGAAGGCTCAATGCATTTCTATAAACCCAAGATCTGTTCTGGTTATCAGGGAATTTGGCCACCTTACTCCTGGACTCACAGAAACTTAGCAGGGTCCTTGGGAGTCTGCAGGCCAAGCTATTAGGACATTGAATTTGGGTAGTTGAGGTGATGTTTTCTCCTTCCCCCCTCTAGCACAGTGTCATGAAATGTCTTTTTTCTTACTTCTCTGTGCCTAGAGACTTGGCTAGTAGCAGAATCTAGCTGGGACTGCCCGATGTATCCACAGTTAAAGGCAAAAGTACAACCGAAGCTTGAAAATGTTCCCTATCACCGTCTACTGAGGGATGGTGGGTTTGACGGTATCCCTCCTCCCCCATCCCTTCAGTAACTCCCTCCTGTACTCTGGGGACATTACAAATGGTCTTAGTTACAAATGGTACTACCCAATGTCACTTGGGCTTTCCCTAAAGGTCGTATAGCCCCGTTAGGGTTGTTGCCTTAGTAAATGAATTCTCTTCTGTCTATCCTGGACCTTCCCTTGTTAAATATTCCTCCTTCTTTTCTTCAAAAGACAAAATGTATTCACTGGTCTAATTAGATCTAATAAGGTTCTCTGTCAGTTGGCTGGCTGCTAACATTTTCTCTTCAGTATATTTTGTTCTTACAGTATTTTCTTTTCAAATTTAGCTTTCCTTTCCCAAATCATAGACTGTAGAGATAGGGAAGAGAAAGTCAAGAAGTTAGCTGCTTTCTCCCCTTACCTTCACCCAAGATTTCACTAAAGCTATAAAAGGCAATTGGTGTAGTTGGTGATTCCAATTACACGAACCAGTTTTAGAGGCCTCCTGAGGAGGGTTACAACTTCCTTTAGTAACTTTTCCTAAATAACAGAATTATTTCATAGTGGAAATTTTTTTTTTACATTGTATTCTCCAGATGTTACTTAAGGCTTTATCACATATATGAATATATATGACATATATTCATTCATGAACCCTATATCATAATTTTAGGCATCTTTTGTTATTATTAAAGGCACCCTGCCCCAATCACCTGTTCATTTTCCCCCTGCATGCCAAATGACATGAAACCATTCACTTTTTTTTTCCAAGTTATAAATTAGACATTGGAGATGAATTTTCAATAAAACTGAAAATAAAGCCAAAAATAAAATTATGAGTGGCATGAAAACAGGTTTTGGAGTTTCATGTCTACATGTTAATTTGCATTATTATTGTTCTTACAGGCCTTCTATTTAAGCGGAATTAAGGTAGAAAATGAATTAACTGGCATTCGTTCCAGTTCCTGTATTTTCCTCCATTAAAATATCCCACAGTCTTTCTGTGCATAAAGTAGATTGGTTAATAGTACTTGCTTTCCCCTTTGTCCATATTGTTAGTTTATAATACTTGCAGAAGCCAAATTAATTACCGGTCCAGGAAAATTATTTCTTACAATTGAGAACAGATACCTGTGTTGTGTCATTGGAATTTGTACTGTAACGTCTTTTAAAATTGTGCCTGTGTAATATAAACACCCACACCTCTATGTTGCATGAAGGGTTTCACAAATGAAGAAAGTACATTGTTTCTAATGTGTTTTGTTTCATTTTGCAGAATTCAATTCGTCACAATCTGTCCCTGCATAGCAAGTTTATCCGAGTGCAGAATGAAGGAACTGGGAAAAGCTCCTGGTGGATGCTTAATCCAGAGGGAGGAAAGAGTGGGAAATCTCCCAGGAGAAGAGCAGCCTCCATGGATAACAACAGCAAATTTGCTAAAAGCCGAGGCCGAGCGGCAAAGAAGAAAGCATCTCTCCAGTCTGGTCAGGAAGGTAGTGGTGACAGCCCTGGACCACAGTTTCCAAAGTGGCCTGCAAGTCCTGGTTCTCACAGCAACGATGACTTCGATAACTGGAGTACATTTCGCCCTCGAACTAGCTCAAATGCTAGTACTATAAGTGGGAGACTTTCTCCCATCATGACTGAACAGGATGATCTTGGTGATGGGGATGTACACTCAATGGTCTACCCTTCATCAACCACTAAGATGGCTTCTACTTTGCCTAGTCTATCAGAGATAAGCAATCCTGAAAACATGGAAAACCTCTTGGATAATCTCAACCTGTTGTCATCACCTACATCATTAACTGTATCAACTCAGTCTTCACCTGCTACAATGATGCAGCAGACACCTTGCTACTCATTTGCACCGCCTAACACGAGCATGAATTCACCAAGCTCCAATTACCAAAAATATACTTATGGTCAGTCCACCATGAACCCATTACCCCAGATGCCTATACAAACACTTCAAGATAATAAATCGAGTTATGGAAGTATGAACCAATATAACTGTCCTGCGGGTCTCCTGAAGGAATTGCTTACTTCTGACTCACCTCCTCATAATGATATCTTGACGCCGGTAGACACTGGTGTGGCTCAGCCCAGCAGTCGGGTAATGAGTCAAAATGTGATGATGGCCCCCAACTCGGTGATGCCAGCCTATGGCAACCAAGCATCCCATAATAAAATGATGAGTCCTAATCCCCACCCACACCCAGGACATTCACCACAGACATCTGCTGTCAATGGGCGTGCTTTGCCCCACACAGTGAATACCATGTCTCACACTTCAGGCTTAAACCGCTTGACCCCAGTGAAACCATTATTGCAAGTGCCTCTGACTCATCACATGCAGATGAATGCTATGGGCCCATACCCTACTGTGAACAGTTGCAATGGTTATGGAAGGATGGGCATTCTCCACCAGGAGAAGCTCCCTAGTGACTTAGATGGCATGTTTATTGAAGGCTTGGACTGTGACATGGAGTCTATCATCCGTAACGACCTCATGGACGGAGACACATTAGATTTTAACTTTGACAATGTGTTGCCTAACCAAAGTTTTCCGCACAGTGTAAAGACAACTACACATAGCTGGGTGTCGGGCTAAGACTTAGTGAGCAGGTAAGTTTCCCAAATACTAAAAACAAAAACAAAAACCCCAACCTTCCAAAAGCAAGATTTGAAGGGGAGAAAGGAAGGCAATGACTGCTGAGTCTCTGCACTGGTTAGGAAATATTTGATGCTGCTCTATAAGGGGCAGCCAGTCGATGCCTTCTCATTCTCTGCCCTCTGCAGCTTGTACGTATTCCACGTCAAGCTTAAGTTTAATGAGGATTCCTTTAACTGCCTTCAAGATTTTCCTTTGACAGTTAAATGGCTGCCTCGCTTTAGTAGCTCTTCAATAAATGAGTGCATTTGATACACATCAAATGCTGATTTTTTTTTTAAGTGGAATTTTCCCCATTGAATGGTTTCAAAGCTGTTTGAGCCACTTTTGGTAATTTTAGCTTTCTCATCTTTAGGGTGGTGGTTTTTTTTTTTCCTTTAAGTACATGTCTGTCACTGTAGTGTGTTAAGCAACGTGTATCCTAATTTTGGCTATATTTTCATTGTTTCTTTTTGATTTTCCTAGGCTACACTTAAAAGTACTTCAGATTTGTCTGACAGCAGGAACTGAGAAAAGCAGTCCAAAGATGCCCTTCACCCTCGTTTTAGTTTTCTTGATAGAAAAAAAAAAAAAACAAAACACAACACACCGCAACAAAAAGCAAAAACCCGTGTTCCTTTCTTTCCTTTCGTCAGACTTGGCAGCAAAGATACTTTTCCTGTACAGGATGTTTGCCCAATGTTTGCAGGTTATGTGCTGCTGTAGATAAGGACTGTGCCATTGGAGATTTCATTCATTACAATGAAGTGCCAAACTCACTACACCATACAATCACAGAACAGACTTTTCGGATCATGTAGAGTGTTGGAGTTTTGTATATAAGCAGTAGGTAAAGAATTGTGTGTGTGTGTGCGCGTGTGTGTGTGTGCGTGTGTGTGTGTGTGTGTGTGTGTGTGTGTGTGTGTTCATATGTTCTTGTTTTTTAAGAAGATCCATTTGGTCCAAGGAAAATTTATACTCTTTTTGTAATGCCGTGATGGTCTCATGTCCTAAGTAAGTCACCCTTTTTTTGTTTGTACTACCTATGTTCCTATGAACTGATGACTCACAGTGAACCAAGATCTGCACTCAACAGCTCCAGGATGGCTTCGGACTTTATTCATATTGCCACATGATTCATACAACATAGCCTGTTAGGAATCATCTGAGTTAATCGATTTATCAACGGTTTTGAAACAATAGATTAAATACCAGCTCGCACAGGTCTTTTCTATTGTTTTTTTTTTAATTGGAGGTGGGGTGGATAGCACATTGGTGCAAACATTTAAATGGTTCTCATTTCCAGATGAATGATTTTTATTGCTGTTGGGACTTGAGATAATTTTTTTGTGGGGGGAGGGGGGAACTGTAATGTTTTCTTAAAAATTAGAGTCTTCTTTGTTACATAGTCAGCTTGTAAATTTATGGAATCACAGGTATTGGGCAGCATTCATAATGTTCATTTTGTATTTTTAACTGTATTAGTACTAATTTTATACGTGCTTAACTGGTTTGTACACCTTGGGATGCTACTTGGTGATATTTCCATGACTAATCTAAAAAGAAATGAAGTCATAATTAGGATCTTGAATACCAAGCATATCTGTCCCATTTAGGGGCTAAGAAAGTGATGTATAGTTATAGACACTTGGCATTTCATGTTTAGGAGGATCTAATCTGCTATTATATGTACATTTTTAGAAACTTCATCTGCTTCTCTTTCCATGTTAACAATGTGTACCACAAAGTGTTAAGTAGTCTTCGATAGATGCTTGTATGATGCTCACCTTTATTTCCTAGAGGTCTCATCATGTTTTAGACCAGGACCTTCATCTGAAAGGCCATAGAGTCATAGAAATAGACCAGGAAGGGACCCCTGAGGTCCAGTGGAGTTCAGCTCTGTGAATTTTACAAATGAGGAACTCAAGCAAAGTGATGTGACCAAGGTCACACAGTTGGCCAATGTTCTGGACCCAGGGCTTTGACTCCAGAACCAACACTCTTTCCTCAGTACCACACTGCAGTCTTCTTATTTTTGCAAACTGGAGTTTACAGAAAAAGTTAATTTAGTATTAGACAAAGTTTTGTCAAATGTTTAGTTTTGATCCCCTGCTCCATGTTTGCCATATTTCAAAAGGTTGGGACTATTGTCCTTCCTTGAAGTTTTGTTTACACACACACACACACACACACACATGCACGCACGCACGCACACACTTTCCTCCTTTCCTTTCTTTTCCTCAGATCACTTAGTGCACTATGCACATTAATTTTGGGGTGAGGATTTTTAAATGGAATAATACTGATTATTGAAGACTTGGTATTCGTAATTCAGGTGGGTTTTAATTACCAATAATACAGGTGGGTTTTAATTACCACACTAACATTAAAAAGAAGTTGTTTCAGAATCTCTAATTTATGCCTCTTAAAGAAAAAATATCTTAGGACAAGTCAAGAATTTGAAGATTTCTTCACCATTCCCATCACTATATTTTAACATTTTCCAATTACCTGTAACTTGTAGGCCAAGTTAATTGGAGCCCAAGTCCCATTTAATCAATCAGTGTTTTCAAGTTATTCTTTGAATGTTCCAAGACAACAAAATAAAAGACCAGGTGCACAACAGTGTTCATTTTGGCTTGTTAGGAACACTGATTTCTTTGCATTTGTCTGTATACTTAGCCCAAATCACACTTGCTTTGTCTTGCATGTTAATTGCATCTCTTTTGGCTTTTCTCAGCCTTTCAACTATGCTTAACAGAAATGCAGCCACTGTAGATGATAGACAGTCTATAGGCCGGCTCTATTATAGGCCTCCCACTGTGGCATTCACTATCTGAGTCGCTGATGATCTCAAGACATGGAAAATCCTTCCAACCACCACATATGTAGCTAACTCCATTGGTGGCCACTCTAAAAAGTGGTCTTCCCATCTGCTGAGTACTACAATATTTTCAGAGTGTCTGTTTGCTTATTTTAAATCTTAGCTTCCCTAATTAGTAGTCTTACTCTATCAAATATAACCTGTTAAGTCATGGTGCCAAAGTATCTCTTAAATTTTATAATTCCTTGCACCACCATATTACTGTTTTACCACAATACATACTTTCTTCCCACCATAGTATGAGGCATCCCCCCCTCCCCCCAATCCATTCCTTTAATTAGAGAGGCAACTAAAATTACCTTGTGAACTTTTGACTACTAGGTAGACTGATGTACTTTTATTTTCTACTTTCTTGGGCCTATGTCTTTGAATTTCTTTTTCCCCTCACGATCTCTTTGTGTCAGATTTCTAATATTAATCCCATAGAACTCTGGGACACCATGAAGTCTGATGAAGGGCATTTTGTCTGTTTTAATAGCAAACATTATGTGACCTCTAGTAATTTTTTTCAGTTAAGAATACTGAATTTCTGGAATAATTTAGTTTTGTCAATTATTGTAAATGATTGCTTTGTGAAATGTGCAAATGATCTTACCTATGCAGCCATGTTTGATTTATTTTCTCTGGTTTGTACTGTTATTGAAAGTATATTGTATTATAGAACTATTCAGATATTTTAAATATAAAGATGTATTGTTTCCGTAATAGATGTATGGAATATATTTAGGTAGTTAATGCATTAATTGGAAAGCTCTGCTTTAGCAAACTGACAAAATGCTTAAGTTTATAAGCAAAAGTTGTAACCCGAAAACTGGTAAATGAACAGACCATCCCTAAGAAGAGGACGGGAAATCTAAAATTGGACCAATTTTCAAACCGTATAAAATTTGCACTTGTTAAACCACTGGATGTATGTTATCAGTACTTTCTCCCTTTCCTTTCCCCTCCATCATCCCTTTATTTGAAATTCTTCCTTTCAATTCTTCGGTTTCTTAATTTATAACTAATTTTAAATAAGGTGTATCCTTGTGTTTTGTTGTTTTGTTTTCGTTTTGGTAATCATGTATAAATGCAGCGTGGTTTCTGCAGACAAAACACAACTTGGCATTAAAACTGGCCTCCTACTTGAGGGTGTTCCACAGACCAGCAGTATCACCAGGGGTAGGCATGGAAACTCACCGGCTCATGGCAGTGGTCACGGCCTCTGTTTCACCACTCTGGTTCAGTCACATTGCAGACTTCAAGTTCGTACTTAGCTATTTTCTGAGAAGTGCCTGATGATGATGTACTTACAGACACAAGAACAATCTTTGCTATTATTGTATAAAGCCATAAATGTATATAAATTATGTTAAAATAGTTTGGTGTCTTTTTTTAACCCCTATTGTGAAGGATGAACTAGGATTTTTACTATTAGTAGTGACTGCAGTTGGGCTCTGATAGTCACAATTGCATAGTCAACTCAAGTCTGGAAATTCCTTTACTATTTCAATAGCCTGTTCTGTTGAGAAACATTTTTACTGGGGCCAAATTTGAGCCCCAGGAGAGACCAAGGACAAGTAAAACCCCCTAACAACAAACTACCTTTGAAGTGCCACATTTGAGAGATTGCTTGGGATGAATGTCTCAGGCTACATCTGGTACTTTAATTCCTGAATTTGTTTAAGTCTACTGACAGAGCATACCATGTAAAGGTGGGTTGAGAAGTCCTCGGGGGCAAGATGTAAGACACATCCCTACATGGCTAGGTGTTCATGAGGCAGAAATACCTTTTAGCAGGGTCTGTGGAGCAGTGGCCTTAGAAGGCCATTGTGCATTAGGAATTCTCGTGCATTGAAGCCTACCTAGCTCAATGGAGGATTTCAGTCTTTCTTGAAGTGGTGGTAGAAGGGGGATTTGTAAGTATGCACCTTACAGAAGATACCTGAGGAACCAGCTAGTTTCGGTTGGTTGAATTGGATTTTAAAACCAAAGTAAAGTCCTATCTTCATTTATTTTTATTATCTCTTACATTTTTTGCTAGCTTAGTGAGTTAATGTGCCAGGGAAATAGTTGAGTTCTCCTATTTATGTGCATACATATAAACACAATCTATTTTTTTGGAAATTCTTAAAACAGTACTAAGTATTACAATTAGAAGTTCAGACAGTACTATACGACCTCTGATTTTGCCTAATTGTCAGGTGTGATGGATTTGGTGGGGAGAGAGGTAGACTTCTAGTTTGGGAAGGGACTTTGAGTCCTCCCAAATGCTTGTTCCTCCTGATTGGGGAAGGGAGGTAAAGTAGGATCTTGGCTCCAGGCTAATTTCATGGACACATAAGACAAACCAGGCCAGGAGGAGAAGGATATTGGTGGGTGCCAGAAGGGAAGCAGGAGAGCTCTCCTGTGCCTGTTATTTTCCCCTGTGGTTCAGGTATCTACAGTAAAGGATCTTACCAGTTGAAACTTACACTAATGGTCAATTATGCAAAGGTAGATGAGGTGTATGTGGGGGGTGGGTGTCACAGAATAATCAACACTTTCCGTGACTGAACTTCAAATAGTAAAATAGTGGTCACTGAGAACCTGTACCTCAATGCTGTTGTCCTGGCCCAATAGATAGGGAAGAATAATCTTAAGCTTAGGCTCACCCAGGGTGATTTCCATTGTTTTCTGAATAGCTGAGATCAAAAGAATACAAAATTTTTTAAGCACTTTGATGATTCATATCTATATGAAAAGTGTTGTCTCCTTGAAGGATAGGTGCTAGGCAAAGTTCAGATGAATCTTATAAGAGAACCTTAGGAAGAAGGTGAGAGGCTTGTGTTTCTGGGACAAAGCCGTTCATTGGAAACAAAAAAACTAGACATGGAATGGAGGAGAGTTTGGGGCACAGTTAAAGTGTTAGCTCAAGGTGCCTTTCTGGAATAAAGGATACTGTGGGATGGATTGAACTTTTAAAAGTTGGAGACATGTAATGAATGGTCAGTTTGTACAGTATGCATGCACACACATGTATGAAGCTAACCAGTATATCTTACCAGAATGGAAAACCACCAGTTATGTACACCTATGTACCAAGCTTGGTGCTAAGCAGTGAGGATACAAATGAGAATCAAGACAGTTCCTACTCTTGAGGAACTTACATTCTAAAGAGAGGAAACTACACAAGGGAAGGTCAGCTTTGTGGCAGATGGAAAGGCCAGGTGGTACTGAGGGTCCACGTGGCAATTGGTAAGGTTCCATTGAGCCTTGGGAGCAATGACAGTGTATGTCCCCAGGTGGGCCCAAGGATTGTAGGGTAATGGGGCTTTTGGTTAATTAGAGATGAGACTGGGGGTTGAGGGGATGGTCAGCATCCAGCTGAGAATAGACATTCAGCGCATAATGTAAACTGGGCAATTGAGGCAGGGGAAAGGGAAGGGTTCCCGGGTTCCTCATCTGAGCATGTATTACTCCCAGTCCCATCTAGCTACTTTTTTGCTGGGTTTTAAAGCTGGGAATTTTGAGAGCTGAATGTGAAGTGACTTAGACCCATGGAAGGACTATGGCAAAGCTAAATCCAAGTATAAGATGGCCTTTCTCCCTAAAGACAAAGATCTCTGCTTTCTTACTGTAAGTTCATAGAACCACAGATTTAGAGCTGAATGGAGTCCTTGAGGTTTAAGGGATTTGCCCAGGGTTGAGTTTCTGAGATCAAATTCAAACCCAAGTCTTCTACCATGTCCAGAGTTCTATCTGTTATACCTAGCTGCTTCTAAAAGGTCTGTAAGTATCTGATAGATCAGTTGAGGGAGAGTAAGCCCTCCTCAGGTAGAGATGAGAGAAACATGACAAATGAAACGTAAGAGACTCGGCATTCTGGTGTGTCATGGCTAGAGTGGACTAATGAGTTAGAACTTGGCCACCTTGTTTCTGCTACAGGCCAATACCGTCACATGGTAAGATGTCCTTAAAGGATTTTTCTCTTTCCAATAGCATTTCCTAAAGATAGAACAGCATCCCTTACAAGGTTTCTTGGCTTCTCAAGTGTGTGATATACATGTAGACACATAAGGCAGGACGAAGCTGGCCTTGTAGCCTGGCGGACGAGATCAAGTCCTGTCTCTGATACGTACTGGATGTGTGACCTTTGGTAAGTTATTTAACCTGAGAGGTCAGTAGGCCGTTTTCTAAGATTTTAGATTGGAGAGAAGTTAACCTGCATTTGGTAGAGTAAGTTTCCTACCTAGGAATTCTCTTCAGTGAAATCACAGGACCAGTCCCTATTTCTGTATATCTGTACGTAAAACAAAAGCTTTTATTATCAGTTAAAAAATAGGAAGGCTTACTACCTTCTATTAAGGAGACAATGTTACAAACATAAATCATACATAAAAGTAATATAGTATGTGTGCACCACACACTTTAGGAGAAGCCAAAAATCTTTGTAAGGCATGATTTTACCTTTGGGCCATCCCATTGTGAAGGCAGACATTTTTAAAAGGCATCTTACTATAAAATAGTATTGGTAACTGGGAGATTGAGGCTAAATTAGTCCCCCCTCCCCAACCTTGCCACACTTGGGTGCTGGGTTCAAGGCACTTGGATAAGTCCATTCTTAACGCACACAGCTTATATCTTCCCAAATGAGGCTTGTTTTTACTTGCTCCACAAAATAACCATAGTAAGAAAACAAGGACTTTTCATCTTTTGAGGAGAAAAACTGCTTTTTGCATTGGTTTGACTTTGCCTAGGGCTTTTTATCAGTCGGAGTCACTTCACATTCAACTGTCAAAAAGTTCTTGGTTTGGAGGTTAAAGATGACAGGGCTGGGAGTAGGAGGTGGTTAAATGAGAAATCAATTGGGAGAAATTGGGAAGGTGGGTTCCTCTTGGTGAACTGAAACCTCTGTATTACATTCTGCTAAGTATTGTTATTTTGGTGCACAACCACGAATATCCCTCCGGTTAGGTTTTACAGTGGACCCACTTTAGGACAAATTCGACCCCAGCTCATATTTCTAATGTTTTTGCCTTACCAAGGGTTTGTGTATAATATGCTGCTTTGACACAATCATTCCTTTATCCCCCGCCATGAATCAGATGCCTCAACATTTCCAAAGAGCTATTTTTGGTGTTTGAAAATCCAGAACTGGGAGCATTTCACTCCAGGCCTCCATTTCCACATAGTAAAGGCAGGGACCAAGAATATGTACCACTACCTGCCTCACAGGTTTGATGTGAAGATTAGAGAATGAGGTAATGTCTGTAAGTGGCTTCCAGTGCCTCAAAGGAAGGCCTTTTACAAATACAAGGTGGTATCATTATCTCCTCAGATGATAGTGGACGTGTCTCCGGTGTGGAGCTTTTGAGGAGTCAGCAGTTTCTTTGAAGCTGAAGCCAACGAATAAATCTTGCTTCTTTCCTCCTTCCACTATTCTTTCAGTTCCTTTAGTCCTTCCATCAGCCAACCAGAGGTATGGGGAGACAATCCTGAAACCGAAGCCTGGGGCTTGGCACTTGGTAGATGTTTAAGAAATCATTATTAACTGAGGGAGCTCCTTTCTTCTTAATAGCATTTTGGATTGAAATTGTTTTTTCAGGGTAAATTGACACCCAACTTGGTGGAAGTACTAATACTTTTTAGAAGCCTACTATGTGCCCTGTGATGTGCTGACTAAGCTTTGAACCCCCACGATTTCTCCTCCACTTCATCTGCTTTCCCTACTGGTCTACAAAGACAAATTCAGATGAAGTCTGGGTCCATCTTTTCCGAGATCCTCCTTGCATATATTAATGTATTTTGATAAATAATTGTTTGATTCAACAGATGTTAGGAATCCACTGGGTCCAAGTTATTATGCTAGAGATTTAAAAAAAAAAAAACCCCACCCACCAACACAAAATTCCTACTTTCAAGGAGATCGCAATCTACTAGGAGAGGGCAGTGGCCCTGAGGGAATATTCACTCAAAAAATGGTAAATTTTAATGAAAAATCAGAGTCTCTGCAGATATTCCAGAAGCTTTCACCTACTTGGCATCTTTATGGATGGCCTTATAAGTCAACAACATTATAGAGATTTTGACTCCTTGTAGTGATGAATGTATGTGATTGAAAAGTTACCCCCAAATCACTTTTTTCTTTTAAAGAATAGCCAGATCACTTAAAAAAAAATAATGGAGAGCCTTTTCTTACCCCTCCCTCTTCCTCTCTCTATCATTCTATCACTTAACTGTTTTTGTCTCTAGTTTATCCAGTTTGCCTATCACTGGATGAGCTAGGTGTTTTGACTTTGTTTAAGGTAAGACCAAAACAGGGATCAAAGACTGCTTTAGCAGCACTGTGCCCATGCCTACACGGTGGGTGTAAGATGATTTCAGTGCT